GAAAGATGTAAAATCGAAGGGAACTTGTTTTTCCTTCAATTTTATCAAAAAGAATATTTTCATTTGCTTTGTCCTTTTTAACAGTTTGCTCTTTAACTTGATGCTGAAAAATGCAATTGTACTTGTGTAAGCTTGAATTTTTTAGAATCCTTTGTGAGAAATGCCTTGAGAAATGAGAGGGCAAATTTTGGGGTATAACAGAGGCTATGTGGAAAAATAGGAATGATCTTGTATGGAATGATGAACATGAAGATGATCCCAAAATTGGTCGGCTTGCTTATCATAAATGGAGGGAATGATTTTCGGCGCAATAAGTTCAAGATAATAATAATGGGCAACAACAAATTCTTCATTGGAATCTGCCTCCTAATGGGTGGATTAAGTGCAACTTGGACTCAGGTTTTAATAATAATAGAGGCACGACAAATAGAGGTTGGTGCCTTAGAGATGATTTCAGTTACTTTATCACAACAGGGGTGGCGTGGGATCCAGGTAACCTATCGATTCTTGAAGCGGAAGCTTTAACCCTCAAGGAAGCTATTCAAAGTGTTACTTCTTTAAATCTTGATCGGATTATATTTGAAAGTGACTTTCTTAGAGTGGTACAAACTTTTCATTCAGTTACTGTGGGAATCCCCGAGTTTTATTCTATAATAAGCGATATTAAGTTGTTACTAAACAATTTCCCACTTTGGTGAAGTTTGTTAAACGTCAAGCGAATATGGTTGTCCACTCGTTAGCGAAGGCGACCAATTCTTGGGCTAGATGTAGTGTTATTAATGTAATTCTTCCTAGTATTGAACTTTTGATTATGAATGAGAAATCATAGTTTTGCTTTGTTCAAAAAAAATTCATAACCAATATACCGAACCAATAATTTGATTCATTAAGTTCTAAAATATTAAAACGGGTTGATTCAACATATTTAATTCAGTTATATTCTTTGATTGAATTGTACCATAAACAATCCTATCACGGACCAACCTTCATCATCAACTAACAACATAAAGTGGAGGAGGGGACAAGTGACATGGCACGGAAAGACGATCCTAGGAGCTATCGATTGCCATAATTTCTAGATAACTTAGACCCCTTTAAATAATCCAAGAGTGGACTTCTTCTATGTTTACTGAATTAAGATACACTTCATAAATATTCAATCCAAGACACATCTCTCGCATCTTCTATATTTACTGAATTGAGATATCACCCCATTAATATCGATTCAAGATATTCATCGGTCAATTCTTCACTTTCAAAGATCATTTATTTGAATACAACACCATAAATTAGGCGAACTAAGAATGTTCTCTTGATTTTATCCAACTGCCTATAATATTAAACTTGCACTAACAAAAATTGCATATAAGAATTAAAGAAGGGTCAAGGTTTACCCCCACTGTTCTGAAATTTGAGTCAACCCGACTTGTCAGACATATTAGATTAAGAATCAAAGGCTAGGGTTGACAAGTTTAAAATACCTAATATACAATTGATCAGATGAAAAATCAGTGTAAATCGATCGGTTTATTGATCAAATCAATAAATAGATAAATTTATTTGAATCGAAAGATTGTACTTTTTCATTGTCACATTCTACATAAATAAATAAATAAATAAATTTAAAACAACAACACATCTTTTTATGTCTCAAATCAAAATATGAAATTTCATAATTTTAAAAACTTATCTTTCATCCATTAATTTTTTATCCATTAATCTACTTCAGACTCTCAACACTAATTCAATCTCCTTACTTATTATAGGACTAAATTTTATTATTCAATTTCGATATTATATTAAATTTACTTCGTTCGCATTACTGTCACCATTTGCATTATTGTCACTTGATTTAGGTAATTTTGCTAAAAGTTTAGAACTTATTTTATTTTTATTTAATGGTTTTAGATGGTGATTATATAATAATAACTGAGTATTTCTGCCTTTAAAAGGGAATTTATCCTAAATATATATAAGTTTATCATAAAAATATATATACAAATTTATCATTGGATTTTTTTCAATGTGCATTAAAAATTTATATAAATTTTTATAGAAGTTTTTTTAAAGATTTTATAATCAATTTTATGTCAAACAATATTCTATTTGTTTTATATATTGGGCCAACAACCATACGGGTAAGACCAATGATCCACCAGTGCCCTCTGATTGTTTAAGTTAAGGATGTTACTTGTGATTTTAATTAATAAAATAACTTTGAAAAGGGACAATATGGATCTTTAGTTGCGTCCTCGAGCAGAATAAGGATCTTAAAAGGATTTCTTTTTTCTCAAGAACCTTTAAAAAAAACAATGAAGATAATCTCTATAGCCACTCTAAAATGCATTAAAAAATTGCCACTACTAGATCACAATTTAGAGTTGTTAGCATGAACATCCAATTGAATCCGGAAGCTGCACGAATTAGACACAAGAATCTTTTATAGATTAGATGGAACAAATATAAATTAAAGAATAGAGTCAACTACATAAATTAATACTAATAATAACTGAACCATCGTTTATGTACAAAGTGCTGTATCAACCCAATCCAAATTGTTCCTCTCTCTCTACCTAATCTTCCTTTCTATGCCACCAAAGAATCAAATTCTATATCACAATACCAAATAAATCCAACCCAACCAAGTGAAGTAAAAACACAAACTTATCACCATTTACTTTTATATGTACAAAGACCAAACCTGAAGCAAGGAATATTATGCTATAAAAAGTTGTGAATATCTTCCACACTCAAAAAATTCCCCCACGCCCTTATCATCTTTCTGCTTTAAGAACAAGATTTGATTAAACCCAAATTGTATAGATTCCTTCTCACAATGCTCCCAAGGGACAATAACACTGCACCACCAACTCCAACTGATTGATCTTCCCTCTCTGCCTTCTCATTACTTACAATAGGCAACTCCTTCACTTTTAAATTGCTTAACCCAATTTTCTCTCTAACTGACTCGATGATTTTTTGGTCTGCCGGGTATCCAATGGCATCTGTTGCATAGAAAACATTAGCGGCCAAGTCACCGGTCGTGGTTATGTCTGCCCTAGTAACATTCAACCCGTTCTCTCGGAACGTTCTCATCACCTCAGCTAGAAGCCCTTGTCTGTCTTCCACGGATAACTCTAGTCTAACACCCTCGCATGATCTTCTCTCTACAGCCGCTTGCAAGCATTGAATCACTCGTTGACGCTCCGGTTCTGAACTAATCGGGGTGCCATCCTTATGTCTTATATAAAACTCCTGGAGTAAAAACAATTTTAATATCATTAATATGGCATATAAACAAGCTATAAACAAAACAAAAAAAACAACACATTATGATGTCTGATAAAAGTACTTACCATGTAAGCTTGGTCAATCCTTGTGTTGATAGTTGCATGGAACACAACATATTCCATGTCTGTCAAATTGCACACTACATCAAACAATAACTTGGCGCGATCCTTACACTGGACATTAACAACCGAATAACTCCTTTCTGCCCAATTTTGAACAGTCACTAACGGTGTCTCTGAAGTGAACTTGAAAATTGGACTCTTCTGATAATCACGGTCGGCAAACATCATTTGGTGGAGCCTTCTTTCAGGGTGTATAACAACATCGGATATAGATGTTTTTGCACTCCTAATATCACCATCTCCTTGTAAAACATATCTCAAACGTGCTTCGAGCCGATTAATTTTCTGAGAATCTTCAATAGAGGTCCCAGAGGTGCAGTCTTTAACATAAATTAAAGAAGCAGTCCGGCCATTGTGTGTCCAAACTTTAGCCTCGACCACATCGCATTGAAACTCAGCCAATACCGCAAACACCTCAGAAAGAAGACCAACACGGTCCGTGCCCTTTAATTCCAAGGCAGTGAGACCATTTCTATGATTGGTTTTTCCATTATAAATGCTACCAAGTGACTGATACAGCATAAACAAAAATTTCAGATTAACATAATGAAAAATAAATAATTACTTCTAAAGAAACAATTAATACTAAATTAGTAAATTACCTGTTCAATATACTTCAAAACACTTTCATCTGTTAACTTATTTCCATCTTGATCCGTAACATGAAAAACTATCATTGAACAAAAAAAATAATAACATTTAGGACAAACAGAATCAAAATTATTACAACAAAGATCGAGATTCAAAAAATTTCTTACCATCCATGAACCATCTTCCATCAGAGGAAACATATGCTTTCTTAATGAAAAGGTTTAGATCGCTGAGAATCTGTACCGCTTCCAAAAGAATTCCATGCTTTCTAGCACTATCAAACTGTAAAATTTAACAAAACCCCAAACATTAATAACTTATTTTCTGTAATAATAATAACATGTAAATCCAAATTAAGGAATTTTCTTTGCGCTGTTACCTTGACTATAGTTGAATTGGAGCAAACGGCATTGTCAATAACAACCCTGTTTCAACATTGAAAAAATTTAAATAATCAATTCAAATATTCAAATACAAACTCAAAAGCAAAACATTCTAGATGAAAGAAAAGTCAGAAAATTGTTAAAATAGAAAAAAGTCGGTGGAAAAACTAGGAAAATATACTTTTCTCTCCCTTGGAGATTACCACAACTTTCAAGTTCACACTACGGAATTGTAAAATTTATAAAATTTGAATTAATTAAAAACTGAGGTACGCAAACATGAAGCGGTTTGAATCTCTGCCCTAAAAAAACATGATGAGAATGTAAGGTAAAATTCTAAATATAGAAACCCTTGAAATTATAGATATTCCGAATCTAATGGTAGTATGAAGAAAATAGCAGAAAAACATAAGAGCGAATTATGAACAAAAATGTGTAACCAAACAGAGAAGAAAAGAATAAAGAATAAACAAACCTGGGAGTGCTCATGCGAAAAACAAGCTTCTCGTACTCGTCCGTACAAGCAGACCACTCCATCTTAACAGTTTTAGATGCAAAAAAAAAAAATTACTGCTACTCTGTTTTAATGTAACGCCGCTACCCAAAACGACGGTTACAGACAAAGAACGTAAATGTTGTGTCTGAATCTTGAATCTGTTGTTGCGCAAATCCTATATAGATGGAAGAGAATTAAAATTCCAAACGGTGGCTTTTAATGCAGACACTCCTTCGATCAAATCGTCATAACTCATAAACCACTCTTACCAAACTCTTGTATTCCCCTTTACCTCCTCACACTGCAAGAGTAGTACTATCTTTTCTCTCTCTTCACTCTCTTCCAAACGCAAACCTCGCTTTGATCTTAACTCTGCCTCTTTCTCTGTATATATATATATTTTTATTTTTATTGCTGCTTCTATTTTCGTGAATTTAATATTGTTGTTAGTTTTATTAAATTGGAATCCACGTCTTTTGTTATGGAAAAGTATGACATGGCGTGAATAACGCTTGCCATATAACCTGCCCGTGCTGACCGGACTTACTACAGGTCAACTAATTTGCCAGGTGGAACGACACGTGGAATCGGCAGGTGTTGCTTTGCGTGTTTTGTACTCAACAGGTTAGAGGAGTTGTTGTTGATTCTTTGATTAACAAGAGGGGTCAACATGTTGGGACCATGGTAACAACCGAGTAATCTTGGTAATTAAGGTCTAATGATATGGTTATACTGGTTAATGACGTAGGAATGTGACGATGCCGGTTTTATGGGCCTTTCCTCCGTCCCCTTGTTTTGGTTGGTTTTGTTTTGTTGTGTGTATGTATTGTATCTTTCATTAGATTTTAATATTGATTTTTTCATTATTCTTTGTCTGTAACGCTAAATTTAGTCTTGTTTCATATACCATTATTTCTAATGTTTGTTGAGTTCTCAGTTTCATTACACTTGATTTGAAATCTGTAGTTAAGTTGCATTAGCATCCTCCAAACCGGCATCAGTTTTTAATTCGTTTTAGAATGTTCAGATTCTTTCCTTCAAAATTAGAATCATTTCTATTGCTAATAAGATCATATGTTACCTTTTCAACAAAATTTATATATTGGACAAAAATTTTAAAACACTCTGAATTAAAAATAAATAAAAAACACACTCTAAATATTAAGAATGGAGAAAGAAAATGGTTATATATATATATATATATATATATATATATATATATATATATATATATATATATATATATATATATATATATATATATATATATATATATATATATATATATATATTCTATTGACACATCTAAGTCTAAAAGACTTACACCAAATCTTTGTAAGAAGCTGTAATTTTTGTTCTGTTAAAGAGCTAAGGAGTATGTCGGAATAGCTAGTTGAATAGGTTGTCAGCTGTATTCGACAACGTCGAATACAACAGTTTTGTAGTTTTAGGCTTCAGTATGTCGAAATGTAGTTTTGGGTCAAAGCTTGTATATAGTCTAATCGGACTTGGGCATTGTATGCGTATATAAAGAGCTTGCTAATTTGTAATTTTACAATGAAATCACAATTCAATTTTACAATTTGAGATCAATAACAACTTTCATAATTGTTTCTCTATTTTCTTCTTCTTCTTCCTTTATCAATCATCTTTCTTGAAAATCATTTGTTCCAACAAATTGGTATAACAGAGCTCAGTTGCGATTTAAAGAGAATCTAATGGCAAATAGAACAACAACATCAATGCAATTTCTAGCGAATCTATCGGTTTTCAAAGGTGAAAACTATCAACAGTGGGTTGCACAAATGAAGGTTATCTTCTGATTTCAAGATGTTGTTAAAATCTTGAATGATGGAGTATCAGAACTGGAAGCAAATGCAACGGATGATGAGAAAGCTGCGCGCAAAGATCAAAGAAAGAAAGATGGTAAAGCATTATTCTTGATTCACCATTGTGTGGATTCTGATGTATTTGAGAAGATAATTGAAGAAGAAACGACAAAAGGAGTTGGGGCAAGTTAAAGAACTTGTATGGTGGAGAAGAGAAATTAAAGAAGGTGAAGTTGCAGACATTTAGGAAGCAATGCGAGATGATTCAGATGAAAGAAGATGAATCAGTCTCTGCATCTTTCTCAAGAATTGTGACGCTAATAAACCAGATGAAGGCATGTGGTGAATCAGTTACAGATCTGCAGAAGATAGAGAAAGTGTTAAGATCTCTTATTGTAGATTTTGACTACATAGTAATGACAATTGAAGAGGCCAAGACTCTATCTGAGATGAAATTAGAAGAACTTCAAGCTTCATTAGAAGCTCATGAGATGAGGTTGAAGCAGAGAAACTCAAAAAGACAGAAAGTGGTTGAACAGGCATTGCAATCAAGATTCAACAAGAAAGCTGGAAAAGAGAAGTCAAAGCAGTGAAAGAATATTGCTAGTGATGAGAAGTCAAGCAAGAATACTGATTCGATCAAGAAAGGTGTGGACAACAAGTATTCTGGGAAGAAAGTTGACACGAAAGAGGTGCAGTGTTACAATTTTTAAGGTTTTGGTCATTATGCTTGAGACTGTCGAAGAAAGAAAGCAGCAAGGGCGGAAGATAGTGATGCAGTTCAATATGCACGAGCTGGAGATAGTGATTATGTTGATGTGATGTTAATGGTCAACACTCAGTCGAACACTAAGAAAAACAACATGTGATATCTAGATTCAGGATGCAGCAACCACATGACTAGCAATAAAAACTAGTTTACCAAGTTAGATGAGTCAGTTGAAAAGGTGATAAAATTTGCAGATGACAGACACATTAAATTAGGTGGTAAAAGAGATATTTCGATTGTCAGAAAGGATGGTCGAAAGGCCACCATCACTGAGGTATTGTATGTACCTTCTATGACAAGTAACTTGATAAGTGTATGTTAATTACTTGCAAAAGGTTTCAATATGAAGCTAGAAAATAATCAGATAAAGGTATATAGGGCTTATAGGAGGTTGATATTGAAAGCACCATTAGCAGAAAACAAAATCTTCAAAGTTGAACTCAACACATCATATCACAAGTGTCTTGCTTTAACTACAGAAAAGACAAGAAATGGCTATGACACCATAGGTATGGACATTTAAACTTCAAAATTTTAAGTATGCTCCACCAAAAGAGGATGGTGTTTGGGTTACCGTATGTAAAGGAACCAAAGTAGGTATGCGAGGAATGTTGCAAAGAAAAACAGGATAGGAAAGCGTTCAAACATGACTTGCCCGTGAAATAAAAGAAAAAACTGGAGCTGGTTCATTCTGATGTGTGTGGACCTTTTGAAGTAAATTCAAATGGAAGTAACAGATATTTTCTTACTTCCATTGATGAATTCACCAGACATGCGTGGATTTACCTTATTGAAAGGAAGATTGAGGTATTCACACAGTTCAAGTTGCATGCTGAGAAACAAAGTGGATGTAAGTTGAAGAAGTTGAGAACTGGTGGAGGTGGTGAATATACTTCTGTCTAATTTGTTAGATTTTACAATGAGGAATGTATGAAGCATGAGTTTATTGCACCCTATACACCTCATTATAATGGCATAGCTGAGAGAAAGAATAGAAGTATACTAAATATAACGAGAAATAAGTTGAAAGCTAAAGATATACCTAAAAGATTTTAGGCTGAAGAAGCTTCGACATCAGTATATATTCTAAACAGGTGTCTAACGAAGAAGATGGTCGAAAAAACACCTTATGAGGCTTGGACAGGGTTGAAACCAAATGTGAGTAATCTTAGAGTTTTTGGATCAATGTGCTTCGGGCATGTACCTGAACGATTGAGAAAGATGGTGGATGATCGAAGTGAAGTCATGGTGCTCATAGGTTACCATTTGACTGGTGCATACAAGTTATATTCGCCAAATGAAGATAAACTAGTGATTAATCAAGATGTTCTTATGGACGAAAGCAAAGGGTGCGATTGGAGTCAAGGTTTAGTTCGACAGGAACCAGACACAGTCACAACTGTGTTAGAAGAAGATCAACAGATTGAGGCTTCGGCGAGTCGAAATAAACAAGGTGATGCTTCAACCAGTCAAAATGAAGAACCACCTGTGCAGAATGAAAGAAGGTCAATAAGAACAAGAATTGAGTCAACATGGATAGTTGGATATGAAATATTTCCAGATCAAGCAGTTGATGTAGATGGTGATTTAATCGAAGAATCTGTGATGATGGTTGAAGCAGAACCAATTGACTTGGATCAAGCCATAAGTAATTCAAATTGGTGTGAAGCCATGAAAGAAGAACGCATAGATATTGATAAGAACATGGCCTGGGAGCTTGTCAAGAGAACCAATAAGAAATCAATCGATGTAAAGTTGATTTATAAAATGAAAAGAAGGCCAAATATTGAGATTGCGAAGTATAAACAAGATTGGTGGCGAGAGGTTTTCTACAAAAACCTAACATAGACTTTGACAAAGTGTATGCGCCTGTTGCGAGGCTAGAAACAATCATAATTTTTTCCTGGCAACAACATATAGAGGATGGAAGATACATCAATTGGATATAAAATCAATATTTTTGAATGGACCATTGGAAGAACAGGTTTATTTTACTCAACCACCAGGATTCAATATCAAAGGGCATGAGTCGAAGATTTATATATTAAGGAAGGCTCTCTATGGTTTGAAACAAGCTTCTGGAACTTAGAATAAGAGAATCGATAGATTCCTAATCGAAGCAGGCTCCACAAAGTGTGTCTCTCAACATGGAGTGTATGTAAATGATGTCAACAGTTATAGTCGAATCATTTTATGCCTTTATGTAGATGATTTACTCATTACTGAAGCAGACGAAGCTGAGATAATGAAAGTAAAGTCAAAACTAATGCAGGAATTTGAAATGTCAGACTTAGGGAATCTTTCATATTTCCAAGGGATGGAATTCAAAAATATTGAAGAAGGAGTATTCTTGTATCAAACTAAATATGCCCAAGATATACTGAAGAGGTTCAATATGAACAATTGTAATGTAGTTGTCACTGCGTTAGAAACTGGAGCAAAGTTGAAAAAGAAAATGAATGATGAGTTTGTAAGTTCGACCATATACAAACAAACCATTGGATCCTTGGGGTATCTTTGCAATACTGGACCAGATATCTGCCAAAGTGTCAGATTATTGAGTCGATTTATGGAGAAACCCCAAGAATGTCATCTTATTACAGTAAAGAGGATGTTGAGATACATAAATGGAACAATTGATCGTGGTGTGTTGTTTCCAAGGAAGTCGAAGAACAACACAAATGTTGAAGTCCATGGATACACTGACTCATATCTCAGTGGATATCAAGACGAAAAGAAAAGTATTGCAGGATACATTTTCATTATCAAAGGTACTACAATCTCTTGGAGCTCGAGGAAGCAAAGTATTGTGACTTTGTCATCATGCAAAGCAGAATATGTGGTTGCATCATACGCTGCATTTCAAGCAGCATGGATCGAAATGTTAATTGAAGAACTCAAAATAATGGAACCTAAGAAGATGAAACTGTTTGTCGATAACAAGTGAGCTATTGACCTGGAGAATCGCCTAGTGTGTCATGGTCGAAGTAAGCACATAGAAATGAGGTATCATTTTCTGAGGGATCAAGTCAACAAAGGAAAGCAGAAGATAAAGTATTGTAAGAAAAAAGTACAACTAGATGGCATATTCACCAAACCTCTAAAGAAAGTTAGATTCGACGAGTTAAAGAGAAGCATCGTGATGAGAATTCTCGAGAACATGAATTAGGGGGGGTGTTAGAAGTTGTAATTGCATCCATCATTATTGAGCTTCCGTGTCTTTGAACCTTAAGAGCAGAATATATATATATATATATATATATATATATATATATATATATATATATATATATATATATATATATATATATATATATATATATATATATATATATATATATATATATATATATATATATATATATATCATATTTTGCTC